CCTTCATAAGGATGTAGTGACCATCTTTGTCTCTCTTAATTAGTTTTGGTTTGAAATCTACTTTGTCTGCAAATAAGATTGCTACTCCTGCTTTTTCTGGTGGAACAAATTTCTTCACTCCCAAATTAAACATTTGTTTTTCTCACAGCCAATCACAGAGTTGGTGTGAGGTTGAAATGAACCAATACAAATAAGATTGTGTAGCAGTCTGACCCAGAGAAAGCTCTCATATGTACATTTAGCTTTAAAAAGGCTGAAATCCAATGTGGATATGGATAAGCCCAAAAGAGATATAAATAGGGTCACACTTAAGGAGCTAACGATTCTACTTCATGAACATATCCTAGGGAAAAAAAATCATAGCTGAGAAGATTTATGTGTACAGATGGTCAGCAGAGATTTGTTTGTAACTTTAAACCTGGTTTTATGTAACTTCCTAACAATGAGTTGCTTACCTAAATTTCCAACAGTAATGCAACAAGTAAATTATGCCACTTTTCAAAAACATGATTGTGATCATGTTTGGAGCTACATGAAAACAGACTTGACAGGTGAAGAAGGATATAAAACCATTCCTACAATATGATCTCAGTTATAGACATTTGTTATGGCTTGTGTCTAGATGGCCCCCCAAAGCCTCAATGCAGTCACAGGTGGGGCTTTTCAGAGGTGGCTGGATGTAGAGTTCATGATGCTGGGATTACAGTTGTGATGATAGGATTGATTCATGATTCAAGACCAGGATTAAGGCTGCCCCACCCTGGGTGCAAGTGCTACCCACTCTAAGGGTAGGTACCCTGGACAGAATACAAAGGACAGAAAGAACTGACTGTTCTTTCTGCTGCTGTCACTGCTTGTCATTGCTGCTTGCTGCTCCTTCACTGCTTTGCTGCCTTCTGCCTGCCATGGACTGTTTCTCCTCTGCAATGGCCCTCTGGCATGCCATCCTGCCTTGGACCCGTCCAAATATGAACTGAAACCTCTACAAACTGTGAGCCAAATAAATCTTTTCTCCTCTAACTTTGGGTGTTGGGTAGTTTGTCTCAACAACAAGAAAAGTAACCGAGACAGCACTCCAAAGAAACATGCACAGAACAACTACCTCCAAAAGAAAAGATTGGAAGGAAATATCCAAAATGTTAGTTGTGTTTTTCTACATAAGAAGATTCTTTACTCATTTCAGCATTTTCTAAATTGCAATGAGAGTGTGTTAAGTCTACAAGTAGAAAAACAAAATATAAAACAGTTGAGAGTCTATTCCAATACCACAATTTTTTTAAAGGATGAGGTGGCCAGGGGCAATGGGTGGAAGACCATTCCATTCTGAGGCACAGTCCTCAGTAGCTGGGGACCCATCTGACAGAAAGAGGGGAGGAACAGAAGCTCCAAGCTTTCCAGCTTGAGCAATAACATGGATGAACCACGGTGTAATGATCCCCACTGGGAAATGGAGAAAGAAGGAAAGGCAAGGGCGGGTTGGGAAGAAGGAGAATGGTTTCCGCTGAGTCTGCAGCGCCTAGAGACACCCAGGGAAAGTTGGAGCTGAAGCCGGTGAGGTAAGTGCAGGGTGAGGCTTGGGGAGGAAGCTGCCGGGAAGGCCTGGGTGTGGGCCCAGCAGTGAGCCCTCATGGTTGTGGACCTGGCTGAGGAGCCCCATGTGTTTGGCAGGTTCCAGGAAGGGGATATTCAGACTGTGTTCCTATGGAGGCTCGGACACTTGGGCTCTGGGTCTTTCTGCCTCCTGTCCCCAATGAGACGGCCTCCCTCAGCCACAGGGACTGCTGCCTGGGAATGGTGAGGACTCTGCGGGATTCGCTGTGACTTGAGTGCTGTTCGTCTTAAAGCTCTCTGATCCACTGTGTGCAGCTTGCTACTGGGTATTTTGTAGGAATATTGTTTAAAACAACAGCCCCTGCCTTAGCCTGGCCAGTTTCAGGGCCAGGAAAGAGCAAGCTCCACAATAGCTCTTCCACTAGCCTCACATTCTCCACTAAATCTTCACTTTCTAGACACCAGAGAGAGCCCCAGGTTCTTTGGTAATTTCTCATGGGTCCGAGCTCCTAAAGAATATTCCCCTTCTAGACTGAACCGTGCCTCTGTGTCACCTGTCGGTATCTCCTGTGTGCTTTACAGCAGCCACAGGCTGGAGCCTCCCAGGGACAGTGACCAGGCCCTCTTTGCCCCAACCAGTACCTGGCCAAGGCACAAAAGAGAAGTCTGCTAAGTGCTTGTGGAGGAAGCCAGTGGATGACACTTATGTATGTCCACTGTACACACTGCTTCCTCACTCATACACGAGTGAAGGCAAGCGACAGTCTGCAGGAGGGGGAGCAGGAACAGCATGCTGAGTCCTGCTGTTTGTGGCCTTTCTGCCTGACAGCTCTTTTCCCATGCGCCCGAGGCACCAGGCCGAGGCATGCTCTCAGAGCTAAATCCAGAGTAAATATGCACAAGGCAGAACTGGTCCTGCTAAGGCAAGGGGGCACATTTTCACAGAAAGAAAGGATTTCACAGATCAAAACTGCATGCTGCTGGTTGCTCCGATCAGTATTTTCACAACACACCCTTACGCAGGTGCTAATTAGGTCCCGGGCATTGTTGGGAGCTCTTTACAAATATCTTATTTAATCCTTGTAGCAACCTCTGGAGACAGGTACTATTGGTATCCCTGTTTTATTTTCATACAGTCCTCTTAGCATCCGAAGCAGCTGTCTTGAAATGAGGAGAGGTGGCACTGAAGAAAGGGAACACAGCTACTATGTTAGGTCCAGCGCACAAATGGCCCAGCCTGAGCATCAGCCTTAACACCACACCACCCGCCAAGCATGTACTGGGCACCTACCACATGCCCAGCACGGTCCTTCTAGAATTCACCGCCCATGGGGGAAACACACACCTAAACAAATACATTCCCAGCCTGTGTGACTCGTGTGTGAGGACTAGGGACATGGTACAAGCTAGCAGAGAGTCACCGGCTGGGCTTTCTGGAGGGTGTGAGTCTGCTCTGTTAACAGAAGGTCCAAGCTCAAGGTGCCACGCCAGAGATGGGGTCCAAAGCTGCATGGTGCTCATGCTAAGGGCTTTGGGGGCACTACTGTAGCCGGAGAAGGAAGAGACGGGAAGGGTTAGGGGTAAGGGATAAGGTGGTGACCTCCGCTGCAATAGCAGGAAGTTCAGAGTCACTGAGGCTTCTGTTGGGGAAAGATCATTTAATCAGATGTGTGCTCAAGGATGGAAAAACCCAGAGACCAGTCAGGGAGCTGCTTCAAGCACCAAACATGGAACAGTGGGTGTGGAAACAAGAGTGCTAAAGTGCAGGGGTATTTAGGAGCACTAGGCTTTGGACTGATTGGAACACTGGCACAAAAGTGCAAGGTGGCAGCTGCCTTCTGACACAGACTCCCAGGGGTCAGAGTCCCCCAAGAATGTGCAGCAGGGCTGGGGCTGGTCTCTGGGGTGAGGACAATCTCAGCGGTGATGGGCTTGGGAAAGCCCCACCGGGCAGCCGAGATTGTCTGCATTCCCTCAGGTTCTCGCTCACATTGCCTTTGAATAAAACACAACATGTTTCATTCTGTGCTCACAGTGAAAACTCATTGCCCTTTGCTGGGAGGTAATAACCTTTTGAATTAGTAACCTTTGGGTAGGAAAATTGGCTTCATGAATACCTCCCCTCCCACTCCATGGGCCCATCATCTCTCAGCCCTGCTGTCCTCTGAAACCAAAAGCCTGGGACTTATTATTTGAGAAGCCTGGATGATTTTATGCTCAGAAAGAATGATCGGGGTCTATAGAAATTGGGCAGAATGGAGTCACTGGCCAAAATGTTGGTGCGGCCGTGTGTCTGGCCACTGAGGGAGGTGAGAGGTTCCGACCTGTGCCCTTGAGAGTTGGTATCACCCACCTTACACGGGCCCCACAGAAAAGGCCCCCCCTCAAGGGCTCTGAGAGGATAATCATGTGTCCTTCTCTACTGACAAGCTCCTGAGTAGCCACCCGGCACCCTGAGTCCCCGTGTCCTGGGATTCCTGGCCCATCTCCTGCCTCCTGGTGGCCACAGGCTTTGCCAAGTCTCACGGGTGCTCACGATGTTTCCTGGGCCCAGGAAGCCCCCCCCCCACACACACACAGAGGCCACGGTACCCTTCCAGGCCAGAGCAGCACCATTCCCCGAAAAGCCCCTCCAGCCATCCCCTCCATCCAGCGGAATCCTTCACCCGCCTGGCGATCACCCCACAGTGCCCCTGCCATGCACTCGGGCCTTAACATGCGGCCTGCCCTGAGAACACTGGGTCCTGCATAGTGTCGTCTGACTAAGATGCTTTCCCTAACACTGAGAGGAAGGCCTGGGTTCGGATCCTGACTCCACCACTCACTATCAGCGTGGCTGGGGGAGAGCCTCACCCCTCCTACGTTCCTCAAAGTGCCGTCCCTGATTTTATATTGCAGAGCCGGTGGGGAGAAGACCTCAAGCCGTCGAAACAGAGAAAGCACTGCAGAAAACAGTGACCAGATTTCTCCTCTTCCCGGCAGAGCGCAGCCCGGGCTGTGAGATCGGGTGGCACCGGCCGGGCTCGCTGCAGGAGTGCGGCTTCAACTCCTCCCGGCCGCTAGTGCTCATCATCCACGGGTGGTCGGTAGGCAGGCTCCGGGCTCTTCTCTTCTCTCGGCCTCCACGGTGCCTTTCCCTTCATAGCGGGCTGCACTGTTAACAAAGCCTCCTGTCTGCGGGCGCTTCCGGTTTCCCCAGTGCTGTCCGCCTTATCTCAGTGGCTTTCTCCACCGCGCAGGAGTCAGAGCAGGGAGAGCAGTGAGCTCACGTTCCAGGCAAAATGAGGCTGGAGGTCACACGGCTCCCCTCCCCGGGGCAGGAGGGGACACAGTCCACGCAGTGGGCGGCTCCTGCCGATCCTGCAGGGGCTGGGAAACCTGAGGCACGGACTCCCCGTGAAATGTCCTGTCAGCAAGGGTTAAAGTCAGCTGCAAATAACAGACACCCGGATTCACAGTGGTTCCAGGAAAACAGGCTTGTTTCCATTTCACTCAATATTCCAGAGACCTAAAGCAACACTGACCAGACAGCTTTGGTCAACAAGGCTCCAGTCCTCCTGGCCCTCATTTTCACATTGCAAAATAGCAGCTAGGGAGCTTGCCATCACATCTTTATTCCAGGCAACACAATATAGTTTGGAAGCCAGATGTCACCTGCACCTGAAGGCATCTGGTAGACATTTGGTAACTGGGATGACCACGGGCCATTACCACAGCAACCCAGTCTCACCTCCCGAGATCTCGTCTCCCATCTCCACCCAGGAGACCTGCCCTTTTACGATTCTGCCCTCTCTGCTGCTGCTCTTTCTCCTGTACTTCCCTAGACCCCAGGGCCGCGGATCTCCTGTGCGTCCTCATTCTCTTGCTAAACTGGGTCTTCTCCTCCAACTCTGCTCTCCCCGGGAGGATTCAGGACGCCCTGCAGACCGGCACCCGCTCGAGGTGCCCAGGGACAGCCCTCCAGAGGCCACGCAGGAGGACCCTGGGACAGAGGGGTCCCCTCTGGGGACCTGATTTTTAGATTTTCCCCTTGCTGCAGGCTCACAAAGTTCCTGTGCAGGGCAAAGTTAGACTGCGCTCCTCTGGTCCAGACATTTTTGGGGTTTTCCAAACCCACAGGTGGACGGCGTGCTGGAGAGCTGGGTGCATCAGCTGGTGGCCGCGCTGAGGACCCAGCCAGTGAACGTGGGGCTGGCGGACTGGCTGCCCCTGGCCCACAACCACTATGCCATCTCCGTGCGCAGCGCCCGCCTTGTGGGGCAGGAGGTGGCCGCCGTACTGCGCTGGCTGGAGGTGAGGCCCCTCCCCGGCCCAGGGGGCAACGCGGGCTGAGGCCACGGGCAGGGGCGTCAGGTGCTGAGCTCCACCACGCCCCTGCCACACCCTGAAGCCAGGGAGGCCGGGCGGAAGAGCCGCCCCTTCCGCAGGGTGTCAGTGTCACGGGCGCACGGGGTCCCAGGGGCTGCCCCGCCCCGGGAGACCCAGCCCCCAAGAGGACAGAGAGACCAGCTCCCCTTGGAGCAGGAGCAGAACTGGCCAGGGCCCCCCAACCCGCCCATCCCGTTGCTCTCTTCCAGGAGTCCGAGGACTTTTCCCGGAGCAACGTCCACCTGGTGGGCTACAGCCTGGGCGCCCACGTCTCAGGATTCGCCGGCAGCTCCATAGGCGGGAAGCACAAGATCGGGAGGATTACAGGTAGCGGTGCCTGGCGGCCCACACACGCCCCCTGCCCGGTCCGAGGCCCAGCCTTCGGTGGCCTTCCCCAACCCGGGCCCTTCCCGGATGCCTGGCGCTCCTGGGAGGACTCGTAACCGCGCCAGAAGAACCCTGGCCAATTGTGCCAAGTGCAGCGTCACTCCCGCCCCTCTCCTCGCGTGATCGACCCCCAGGCCGACCCAGAGCAGACTGTGTGCACAGTAGACCTGCTGTCAGTTTTGCAGCGAGAAAGTCCTGTTTCTAATCTATACTTTAAAGGCCCAGTGTGGATGAACTCAGGAGGGCAGAATCCAGGCTCCAGGGTGCCTCGGTTTCCACCTTGATGAAGCCCTGGGGGCTTACTCTGGAGCCCACTCAAGTTGAGGAGGAAGCTCAGCAGCAAAACCCGCGGCAGAGCCTGCACCCACTCGGGAACAGCTGGGTGTGTGCCAGGCCCTTCCTCCCGGGCATCCTGAGATCAACCTCACCCCACACTGCCTGAACTGGGACCCACTGACACCTGCAGCCATGGGGCCCCCGGGGAGAAGCCAGGCCCTTCCCCGCCAGGAGGCCTCAGAGTGCTTCGACTTCTCCTGCCATCCCCTTCCTGCAGCTCTAGACTTCAAAATCACAAGCTTTTCCCCACTTTACACACACACCATGGCCTCCTGTGTCTTGGGGCCTTAGTATGTGGCGTCCCCTGTGCCCACCACCAATGCACCCGGCCCTAGCCCACCTACCAAACTCCTATTCATCCCTCAATACCCAGCAAGCTAAACAAAAAACATTTAAGGTGAAAAATGGAGCTGTCATGACTTTGCTGTCAAAGAAGAACTTTTTTAAAAATTATACTAAATAATGGGTTAAGTGAGAGCATTTTAAAAAAATTATTACCTTCTATTACCATCCATTTTAAAAACGACAACATGAGATCAACATGTGATATGTACCATATTTCCCTAAAAAGAAAACCAAGTCTTATATAAATTTTTCCTGCAAAAGATGCATTGGGCTTATTTTCAGGGGATTTTCTTTTTCATGTACAGCAATCTACATTTATTCATTTACCTATGTGCAACAATCTAGATTTGTTCATGTACAAAATCTACATTTACTCAAATACAGTCCTGCCATCTTCCTCTGGAACATCGTCATATCCCTCCACACCCCTAATTCCGGCCTGAATTTCTTGCAACTCCATTTCCTGTAGAACCATTGGCCCCAATGTCTCACATCCAGCAGTAGAGCTCTCCTTAAACGAGCACTTCCGGTCCATGGAGCCTGCTCATAGTGCATCATTCCAGCGCACAAGGTAGTGAATCACGAAGATTCCCATTGGACCCAACCACGTCCGTTCGTTACCAAGTGCACAAGTTACCCATGCATTGTCTGTACGCTGATTAGTCATTTGGAAATAAGTTCATCTGTTCACATAGACATTTACCCCTCGTCCAAAGGTACCCGCTTGGGTATTTACAAATACTCTACTTAGTTACAATTTATAGTATCATTTATTTTAAGTATTAATGTCAAAAATGTTATTTATATATAATAATATATTATTATCTTATAATTCAATACACCGGTCCTGTGTAGCAAGGGTCATACTAAAGGTGTCCGTCTGGCTGAGGATCTTAGCTGGGTTTAAGTTGGGGGTAGGGCTTCTGTTACCAGCATCCTGAAAAGTCCTACTATGGCTTGTTTCTGATTAGGTCTTATTTTGAGGGAAATGCAGTATATGCACCAATTCCCCATGATGAATGTAATTGTTGTGTATCACAAACACATACTAATAAAGGACAGGCGGAGGCAGACATTGAAACCAAGCAAGCACATCACTTCCTTATCCTCTCTCGTTCTGGTGGGTGAGCAGAATGGCCTGGCCGTGGCTTTTGCCCTTGGGTGCTCACCACCCGACCTAGCCAGCCGGGGCGCCTCCTGCCTCCCGCAACACATCGGCCACTTGTGACCAGTGCTTCAGGCAGCCCTGTCTGCTCGCCGCGTCTTCCCCCAGGACAGTGGCTGTTCTGGACACCCCAGTGAAATGACAGCAGTGCACCAGAAGAGCCTGCGTGTTGAGGGAAGTGACTGAGAAGATGACAGCAAATAAATTCTTTCTTTGATGGGTAGCTTAGAACTATGGAGAATGAGCACATTGGGGTTTTTTTCTATGCAAATGGATGCTCCTGTAAGTAGCTTGACAGGTACTTAAAATTGATTTGCTTAAATAAATCAAGCATTCCCCCATAACCTTCTTTCTACCGTTAGATCATCTCTATAACCTCTTCCCCCCCTAGATAATGCCCAGCCTGTGTTTAATTTTCAGCACCATGAATTACTGCGGTTTTACTGTAAAACGGTTATGGCCAGGTTTTCCAGAGAGAGATTCGGCCCTGCGTTTCTCTTCTTCCTCCAAGCTCATGAATGTGTAAAGATATCAAACATCTAAGAGCTCCTTTCTCCTGCCCTCCCCTTGCTCCGCCTAACCTTACCTCGCCTTCCCACTAGGGCTGGACGCTGCCAGTCCTTTGTTCGAGGGGACGTCCCCCAGTGAACGCCTCTCTCCAGAAGATGCCGTGTTTGTGGACGCCATCCATACCTTCACCCGGGAGCACATGGGCCTGAGTGTGGGCATCAAACAGCCCATTGCACACTACGACTTCTATCCCAACGGGGGCACCTTCCAGCCTGGCTGCCACTTCCTGGACCTCTACAAACACTTCGCCCAGCATGGCTTAAACGGTGAGGAGGAGGCAAGGCCCAGAGCGCCAGCCACTGTGCGCCCACCCCCAGGGTCAGGGAGCCAGGGCATCCATGGAAGCTTTGGAACCTGGGCAAGGGTGGGCTTGGGTGACCAAGCTCACTCAGCAGGCAGGGCTGGCGGTCCCCAGGGAGGCCACTCCTCAGGCCACCGTCCAGAGTCGCAATTTCTTAGCCTGTCCAGTCCAGAGTACCCTAAAGGGCTCTCCGGAGTGCCAGGCCTTCTGGCAGTCGAGTCGTGGTGGTGGTGGTTGTCTCTTCTCTGAAAGTTTGGTGCTTAGAGGCCCTCAGTTCTGAGCCACATGTAGATCTGCTTTCATAGGGCCTGGCTTCTCCATCCTTGACTCACAAGAATGAAACTAATCCTTCATGTGATGCCCCCTGAGCCACGATGCCACTTCTCTCAAATCCCCAAATCTGGAATATTAACATGCACATCAGTAACACCCACGGGATTAAAGGAGGAAACAAACAACAGCAGCAGGACCTTCCGAGGGCATTTACAAAACTTCCTTCCAGTGTAAAATATGCTGGCTCTGGAGCCTTCCCACCCCTCCTCCACAGCGGGAAGACATCACCACCCCACCTCCCCAACATCAGAGTGACCTTCCAAGTCCCAGCCCCCACCTCTGCCCCACCCTGCCAGCCTGCTAGGAACACCCTTAGCCCGGCTTTCATCCCCCTGGGTCACCACCTCCCCAGTCCAGGCAGTTCCCACAAGCCCTCCTCCCAGACCACTACTTCCTGCCTGGCTAAACTTCAAAGTGATCCAACCCAGTCTATGCATTCAGCTGGCCCAACTTCCTGGTGGGAGTCAGGGAATCTCAGTTTTCTTTGCCCCTGTGTTTCTGTGTCCCCACCCTGGTGCAGTTCTCCCAGTCACGCCTGACCAGTCACAGCTTCCCGCCCTCCCCACTCCTAGCTGGGTGAGCTCCAGAGCCAGTGAGTACCTTTGAGGCCCTGTGGGCAGGGACACTCAGGGAGTGGGGGAGCAGAGGACCCCAGGAAGAATGAAAGGTCAAAGGTCATGATAGATAAACCTAGTAAGTTTGTTTGTTTGGGTTGGGCCTGTTCCGGCCTGGCAAGTGGGGCCTGACCTGAATCCAACCCCTGTGACCTGAGGGGCACAATGGCCAGGTCGGGAACGCGGAAGGTGCTGTGGCCAGGCCATCGCCGGGGCCCACGAGCACCTCACTGATCGAGCTTTATTGAGGAAAGAACTTTAACCAGGCGTGGTGGTGCATGCTTGTAATCCCAGCACTCTGGGAGACTGAGACAGGAGGATCCCAAGTTCAAGCCCAGTCTGGGAAATTTAAGGAAGCCCCTGTCTCAAAATAAAAAACTAAAAAAGGGCTGGGGTTGTAGCTCAGTGGAGCCCTGGGCTCCATCCTCAGTACTGCAAAAAAGAAAAGAGAGAAGAGGCGTCCCACACAGTCTACTCCCACCAACTCCCCCCGCTTCCTCAGCACTTGGCCACTCTTCACACTTGAAAAATAGCCCTGGGATGATTTTACTGCCCCGCTTTGTTAAATAATTCCACCTTTCTTAGTGCTGCGGGGCACCTATGGAAATACCCGCTGAACCACACCGCACCGTCCCAGAGGGGTCCTCGAAGCCTGCCATGCCTGAGGCTTTACCCTGACGCTAGCTGGCCCAGCGGGAGGACGTCTTTAGTTTTCCACCAGTGATGAACCTTAGCAATACCACCCACTCCCATGTGCCACCACCACCCCTCTGGGGGCTGACACGACCCTCTGAGCTGAGGCCACCTGGGGTCAGGGTGACACCGTCCTCCTACGCTGTGTTCCAGCCATTCCCCAGACCATAAAGTGTGCCCATGAGCGGTCCGTGCACCTCTTCATTGACTCCCTGCTGCACGAGGACATGCGGAGCACCGGCTACCAGTGCAGCAACATGGGCAGCTTCAGCCAGGGCCTGTGCCTGAACTGCAAGAAGGGCCGCTGCAACTCGCTGGGCTACCACGCGCGCCAGGAGCTTCGGGGCAAAAGCAAGAGCCTTTACCTGGTGACCCGCGCCCAGGCCCCCTTCAGAGGTGAGTGCCAAGTGGCCCCTCCATACCCATTGGCAGTTTCAGCTCTGCAGGACCTAGCAGCCACAGTGCCAACCTTCTTGTCCCAAGAATGGGCCACTCCCTCGCCAAGGGCTGGAAGAAGAGGCCTTAGTAATTTCTGGAACAGTCCTTGGGTTGGCCTTTGTGTTCATTGCCGTGGCCCCCTAGAATATCAGATGCAGAAGGTCCCCACAGGTGCCACCCCACTGTCATTGCCCAGCAACCTGGACAATCTCCAAATGCAGACTAGAACCCAGATCTCCCATGTGAGTTCCAGGCCTCAAGGAAAACAGGGCTCCTGTTGAGGTTTGCAGCTCTTCCCTTCAAACTCTAGGGTCTGACTCCACTGATCTTGCAGGATATCACTGTCACACAGAGGCCTTGGCCTCCGCCTTTCCAAGCCAGATCCTTAAGCTCAGCCAGAAAGCGAGCCTCTGCAAGTGCTGTGTTGGACAGGCTGTAGCAGGGAAGCATGCATGGAAGCTAAATCCCCCTGGAGGAGATAGGCCAACATCTATTGCCATTAAGATATCTACCTAATCCTTTGAACAGCTCAGGGGTGATTCTGGATCTTAGCCTCCCCTGACCCCCTCCCACCTGGCCAGGGCCGGTGGACTCTGGTGATGAGTTGTTCTCTGAGCACCCACAGACACTGGAGCTGGGGAGCATGCATGGGGCCATTGGCCCTCTCTGCACTTGCTGGTGTTTTATACACATTGTAGACACCTTGGACCCCTGGGCATCCCCAGCAGTGCAGCAAGGTGGGGAGCACTGGTCATTCCCTGGTTTTAGAGAGGAGGAAGCAGGACTCTGTTGGCATCCACAGCCTCACAGCCTGTGTTGGAGGAGGCCTGGGGTAGGGCCGACTCCAGTCTGGGGCACCTTTGTTTATCCCTATCCTGAGATCTGACTCCCAGGACACCTGTGTTTATCTGAACTCTAGGGCCGGGAATTTAGCTCAGTGGTTCCAGCACCTGCCTTGCAAGCACAAGGTCCCGAGTTCGATCCCCAGTACCAAAACAAAAAAGACCTATCTGAACTCTAGTGAGCAGCCGAGCATCCCTGATGTGAGCCACACAAGCCCAAAGCAAGTGACAAAGGCGTGCAGGCAGCAGACAGGTGCCATGGCATCTGGGAAGCAGCTGGCAAAAGTTCATGTCTGTCCTCCCTGAGGGGCCAGCATCCCCTCCCTGTCTGTCCAGTAGGGCTGGAGGGCCAGCCGAAGGAGCAGCAAGGGGATTTGAAGGCCTCTGGTCTCGGGAGCTCGCTCACCACAGGCTCCCAAGTAGCAACTCCTCGGTTAACCAGCTCCTCTTCTGGATGGTGGTGTCACCTGCAGAGACAAGGCTTGCTGATAATCACATTCACTAGGCCTCTTTTCGAAGTCGTGGAGGGTCAGCACAGCACGGCACTGTCCGGCCTCCATTGTCCCCAAGAGGCTCCTGATTCTGCTTCAGCCCCTCCAGTGAGCAGTCCTTATCTGCCCCACCTAACTTCCCTCTGCAGGGAGCGGTGACCCTATGGTCACCCAAGAGCTGCTCAGGGGCGCTGCCATCTGCAGAGTGCTCTGCTGTCCTCTGTGGTGCTGCCAGCCATAGTGGCTGTTCTGTTCTAAATTTAAATGCTATAAATTAAAGGAAACCAAAAAAGCCAGTTTCTTAGTCATGTGAGACACCTCTCACTGGCTCAGATAAGTGGCTGCTGCATCAGAGAACACAGCAATAAACCATTTCCGTTCTCATAGAAGGTTCTACCGATGGTTCGGGTGTGAAACCTTTAATTCCGACCCGGAACTCCCTACCGTGGTGGCCACAGTCATCTCTGTGGCTCCAAACCTCTTTCGGTGGCCACCTCTGGCGTTTTGATGAATATGTGCAGGCCCTTGAAAGAGCAGGCGCGCCCAGCTCTTTCATCCCCAGCAGCTACAGTGCACCCCCTCCGCAGTCAGCTAATTGCACTGTACAGCTCTGTACAGGGTCTGGCCGGGCAAGATAAACATCACCTCCTGGTTACAGTTTCACAGTGATGACTAATTTAGCCTGCATTCCTCTGGCTTCCAAGATATTTTGAGGAAACTATCAAAGGATCTATTTTCTACAACCATACGCCAGAACCTGGGTAAACACTGCTATAGCAGTTGCTAAAGAGGATTGAGAAGTCGGGCCCCGGATTTAGCTCAGCGGTTTCGCTGCCTGCTGCGCAAGCACAAGGACCGGAGTTCGATCCCTGGTACCAAAAAAAAAAGTGAGAAGCAGGCTCCGAGGAAGGGAAAGGAGGCAGTGGATGGCCCACGTCTGTTCTCAACAGCTCAGAGCCTGTGTGAAGGGAGGGCAGACAAGGAGACTCAGTCCTGCCTAGCCAATGCCTGGACTAAGCCACCCTCAGAGCAGTGGGACCAGGTAACGGGGAACGGAGGTGGCACTGAGGGGGGCTCACCTGGGCTAGGTGTGCGGCACCCTCTGCCTAAGAAGGAGAGATGGAGACCGGAGACAGAAATGGAGATGCTAAATCTTCCCACAAATCCGTGGGCATTCGGAGAGGCTGAGTCCTCCTCCCAGGGTCGCAGCTTTGTGAGTGGCCAGCACACGGCTCGGTCCCAGCCAGGTGGGATTCACAGCCTTGTGCCTTCACCCCAGGCAGAGTGACCTGGTGTGCCCTCCTGCCACACTCACACTCCCCCTGGGCTCCCCTCACCTGCACCCCCTCTGGCTCCTGTCGCTTGCTCCATGAGATGACAGCCACGCTGCGGCTGTAACTAGAGGAGTTCATCTGGCTTCAGCTCCTCTCGGCTACTTCTCTACAGGTTTGCGCTGATTTTGTTCCCGAATAACTAGCGAGAGAACACAGGCTTGGGAAGGGGATGCGGAGCGTCAGTGAGCTTGGCCTTACTACCAGCCGCTCCTGTGGCCTTGACCTGGTGGCAAAACCTCAGCAAGGGGATGGGGATGAACCACCAAACACGGGACCGCCCGTGAGTCTTCCAGCTTCCTGTCCGTGCAGCCTGGAGGGGTTCACACTTACACAGCTGCTCCCCAAGGACCTCACAGATGGGGAACCTGAGCTCCAGCGTGGTCGTGAAGGCTGTTACACTCCAATACAGTCGCCAGAACAGACACGGGAGCGCACACATACACACACCGCATAAATCACGCATCCCTTCTCCTCCCCTGTGACTGCATCCGCCCTGAGAAGCTTCACTCGGACCCACAGCCTTGGGCCCCATGCTTCCAGGGCCCCATGCTTCCAGGGCCCCCAGCTTCGAGGAGTTTCACACCGGGAACCGAGTCCTAGGTGCTTGGGGAGAACACACGCGATCTCATCCCTGCAGTCCCAGGACCGAAGCCCCCAGGGGTCACGAGAGCGTCGGATCTCCCAGAGCCAATATCTACTGAATCTGAATCATCTTTTCTGTGAGGGAGAAAAAACCAGAGCATTCTCCTTTTATAAATTCCGCGATGCACACAGGGGTGCCACGTGAAAAGAAATCTAATTTTTCCTTTATTAAAAGGCTCTGGGCACTAAGGATCAGAATCTGGGGGTTTTCCCCTTACAGAGATCTCAGGAGGCCGCACGGCCCTGCTCGGGTGTCCAGGGTCAGCAGGTGCTCTCCTGCCTTTCTCTTTCAGCCCTGAAGGAATTTCTCCTGCCAGAGGTCTGGCCTGTGCCGGACTCGGACTCGTCTCTGCCATCACAGGATCAAAAGCATTTTGCCCAAATCATTTTCAATACCCTAATTAAACATGCCCTGAGGTAACGTGAGCAAAACACTCACACCTTTCCCTGAATCTTTCCCATAGCATTGTTGGGGATTGAGGGGGGGAGGTGTCAGTGAGACACAGTAAGGTCATTGTTTTAAAAGAAATAAAAAAATAAAAATAAAAAGAAATAAAAGAAATGTGCTCACACAAATCCAAATAACACATCATTAGTTCTCAGTATGAGAGCCCTTTGCACATTGAGAAATTCATTTCATTTCAAGATTTCTCTGGAAAACTAACTGTCCCCACACAGTAACAATCTGGATTACCCTGAGCTCAGGAGCACACTCGCTCGGGCTCCTCGAAGACACCTTCGAAGGTGATTTCCTGCCTGGGTCCACTGCAGTGACACTGCAGGGCCTGGGCAGTGCTCTGTCAGACCATGGGGATCGTGGAGAGCTGACCCCAGGTTTTCAGGCGTATCTTCCTCCAGAATTGAGGAACCCAGCATCTCCAACACAGAAATTCAACTCTTCCAACTCACAGTTTTTTAAAAGGGGGAAGACAAAAGGGCATCTCCGTTTGGGGGACATGGAACATTTGTCCCCACAAAGGGCCAGACGAGCCAGAGGCAGGGACGCTGGGATGGACTTCAAGGCTCGACCAGGCAAGTTTTCTTGGCGGCTTCCATGGAGCAAGTTTGACCTCAGCTTTCCTCCAGGGCCGAGTGCTGGCCATTTTCTTTGAAAGGATAGACTCAGCTTGCAAGACCCAAACACCGGGAACCTGCCAGGAACTCAGACAGAAACCTGTGTTCAAATTCCGCCCCCGTTCTAACCAGCTGGGTAACTATAGCTCTCCAAACGTCAGGTTTCTTTATTCCTTTATCACAGGAATTCCTTCCTGTAATTCATCAAGATCATTAGCACCAGATCAGACCCGGACTCTGAAGAAAACAGCACTCCATTTGCCAGGGCAGCAGGAGAGAGAAGGAGTGGGCTGCTCCTTGCAGATGGAGGTGGCAGTAAGGAAACCCACAGGACTCTGGCTGCACCCCAAATCTAACAGCTGGATGGAAGGAGCAAGAACTGGTTCGGGACAACTGAGCACAGAGAAGGCAGGAGGTGCTATTGCTAATCATGGGGTGCAGCTGCTGCTCAGCCCCCAGTGCAGGATGAGGCAGAGGAAAGACACTTGCTTCTCTCCTGCACCCCGATCTCCAGCTAGGGCCTCTCCAGGGGCCAAACCCAACCAGAAGCCATTTGGCAAGGAAGCCCAGGGCTTGGAGCTGGGCAGAGAAGTGCAGAATAGCGTTAGAACATAACCTGATGCATACTGGGATCTCATCTATCAGCCTTCCTGTCCACACCGGGGTCTGTGATACAGCTTGTGTCCCGTGTGGTTCCCCACACCAAGTGCCCACCACTACCCCTTGGGTGCCCAGAGAGCACTGTGCCCTTGCAGAGATATGAGCCACTGAGGTGACCCCAAGTCTGCTGACAGGGTGTCACATGTGGACGCCGATGCCTGGGAGATGAGGCAGAAGGTGACCGAGTCTCACAAGCAGCTGTCCCTCCCAGTCGCAGGCCCCGCAAGGCCATGGCACTGCGGCTTCTAGTCCTTACTGGTTTCTTTTGTTTGCTTTGAAAGCTTTTTCTTTTTCTATTCTAATTAAACATTGCTTATTGTAGAAAACATGGATCGTGCAGAAAAGCATGAAGATGAGAGTAAAATTGCCTCTCTGCTCACCAGAGCTAAGCACTGCCGGTATTTCTATGAACTCCCCACTTCGCGTTCTGTTTTGTAGAGTTGATCTCACACTAGATACGCAATCTCATATTCTGCTGGGGTTTTTTTTTTTTCTTTTTCACTTCTTTCATAACCATTGGAATAGCTCCAAAAATACCTTTTCATGGCTTCCTAAGAATAAATCACTCGGTTGGGAATATGAACTCAGATTCAGCAGAGTGGCTTGTGATTGAAACTGTTGCCAATTAGTAGCTGCAAGACAAGAGGGACTCGGCTGACCCTCAGCTTCCTCTGTAAAACAATGTCAGAGGGAAGACGCAGCAAGCATCTTGGAAAGTTTGTAGAGCTCTTGTGGAGAAATGAGAGTAATCATGTAAAGCAGTTCAGGCTCTGTGACCCAGCAAAGCATTAAATGGTAGTTGACAGAGACAAGACTGCAATGGAGAGTATTCTCTCTCGCCCTGCCTTCAACTTACAGAGGAGCGTCCTGGCCAAATTCGGGGAATACTCCAAAAACCTGCACACACCAGACACGCTATACTCCAGTTTTACCACTTTTTCTTTTTTCTGCAGTGCTGGGGATTGAAGGCAGGACCTACAGATGCTAAGCAAGCACTCTGTCTCTGAGCTACAGCCCAGCCCCTGTCATTGCTACATTATAAACACAATGTAAGTCCCATGTAGATGCTTAGGATAGACAGAGAAGGAGAATGAAGATAAAAAGCATTCAGAATCCCACTGTGGGAGTGGTGTTGTTGACCTTTTGGTATCTATCCATCCCAACTTTCCCCCTGCATTTTAAAATTTCAAAATATGTGAGATTTTAAAACTAAGAAGGCCTGCTTAACCTCCCCATCTCTGCCTCCCCACCCCAATAGTTTACCATTACCAGTTCAAGATCCAGTTCACCAACCAAATTGAGAAACCAATAGAGCCGATCTTTACCATGTCACTGGTTGGAACCAAGGAGGAGATGCAGCAGGTCCCAGTCACACTGTGAGTACGAGAGCCACCAGGTTTGTCTTCCGCATGGGGCAGGCACGAGTCACTCTTCGCTGCCCGTAACGGCTGCCCCAGACACCTGTGTGAGGGAACATCCACCAAGCCCCGGTCCCTTGCATCCCTGTGTGCCGGGCCTCCTGTGTGACAGAGAGGGGCCATGCAGGATGAAGACTGACAGGGCAGATGTGGGAGTTGGTGTCCACAGGAAGTCGCCAACACCTTTCCATTGTGCTCTGGAAACCACAGCCAGACCTCAGCCTGTATCATTCAGCTTGGACACATGTCCCTTTTCAGTAAGCCCGTATCTGCTGGCCCTCCTGCCTGTCCTCTCTGTCACACACCTGTGCACAGTGCCACCAGCTGCCTCACCCTGTGGCTCCCAGACTCTCCGGGAGGTGACATGGCCCTTTGCCACCTGGGATGGTCCTGAGCTTCCCGAAGACTGCACATGGGTCTCTGGCCATCGCACTGATTGGCTCACTCAGGAACCCCGCTGTCACCCATCTGCACCCTAAATCCATGTTCTCAGTGCTGGAAAGGGGAGTTCAGCCCCTCTGCCAGTGTTGGGGTGTTTTACTGTCTTGAAGATTAGAGAGGAAAGCTGTTAATGAGGCTTCGCTGTCTGCATTGAGATCCTGCTCTAACAAATACATCCTTTTTCTATGTGGTTTTTCTATTATTGTTAGGCTTTGTTGCTGTGGTAGACATTGATATGGGGGAGCAGAACTGAGGAGAAGAAGGCTGGGGTCTCCCACGGGTAGGAGAGCTCCCAACGCCATTGCCCAAGGCCCCTGTCTCCTTGGGGGCTTCTTCCCAATAGCTGGGAAGAAACAGCCCAAAATGAAGAATGCTCACTAGATTCACGACCAACCCTTTTTTATTCTTTTTTCAATTTTTCATTTCTATTGCTACATGCTTGCAGTATATAAAGATTGTGCAGCTTTCCCAGTCCTGCCTTTCCCATCCGGCCACACATACTGCCATCTCTGTGAATAGGCTGCGGAACACCAGTTTGCAAAATTTGGCAAAATATACCATCCCAAGTCACTCAGGCAGCCTAACACATCCTGAATCTGCGACAGCATCACTTTGGCATTACAACGAAACTAAATCAGCTGTCTGGTTTCCTTTGTGTCTTCCAGGGGCGAAAGAATCACTAGTAATAAAACGTACTCATTCCTTGTCACCCTGGGGCCGGATATTGGCGAGCTGGTCCTGATCAAGCTCAAGTGGGAGCACAGCGCCATGTGGACCAACGTCTGGAACACGATGCAGGCCATCATCCCCTGGGGTGGAGAGTCTCGCTCCTCCAGCCTCGTGCTGAAGACCATCCGAGCCAAGGCCGGGGAGACACAGCAAAGGTGACCAGCACCTGCCTGGGCCAGGCAGTGTGACAACTCCTTGCTCTAACTCACTGCAGGAAGAGGGCAGGAGGCTGCCTCAGGGTTGGAGTGTAGACACGAAGAAAGGGGCAGTGCCTGTCCCAGGCTCCCACAGCCACAGATGGAGGATGAGGATTTGCACCCCATCTTCTAATTCTAATTCCCACTGCCTGGGGCTAACAGCCACCTCCCTCAGCAGCCCGGGCTTCTCCAACAGCTGATCTTCAGGTGGAGACCCTGCAGCTCTGCGGAGCTGCTAGAAGATGCAGCATCTCTCATTTGTTGTTTACCAGAGAAACACTTCTAACAGATTCCCATCTCAATTCACCTCTCCCTGTGGTCGCACTTTTCCAATCTTAGATGTCAAAGCACCTCTGGAAGCTTATGAAGTATGAAAGATTCTTAGACCCACCCTGCACAGCATCCAGCTGTCTGTGCTCTTGGGCAGGGAGCAGGGTGCATTTTTAAAATCAGAGCCCTGAGAAATTCCGATGTGGACCCATTGAGAAATGCAGTGCCTTGGAGTTTATCAATTCCCCTGACCCCCCAAGTCCCTAGGGACAAGAAGGGATTGATGGGGAGTGGCAGGGGGCTTCAGCTGCTGCTACAGTCATCATGACAGTGAGCAGGGATGCCCAGCACATTTTGCCATGGCAACTATGCTTTTCTCTAGTTTTGTTCCCTCTTCTGTGGGTCAATTCTGTGTTTTCCTGGACCCTTCCCTGCATCTGCCCTTCCGTATTCTGGAACCTTCTCTGTCTTCTGTTACCTTCCTTTGTTGGGAAGCTCATTTCTCCCCAGGTTGCCCTTAGCAGAGATAGAAAACAGCAGACTTCTCACCTCTGTGCTGCCTCCCTCAGCCTCAAGTTCCTCTGCCAGGAGCCGGCCTGTGGCAGATTTATGCCTCCTGAGTCCCTTCTACCACCGCACTCTGAGATTTTATCTCTCTGGGATGCAAAATTCTGGCAATTACTAAGAGCATACTCTGCAGTCTGCCAACAGATTTCTCCACATGATCAATCGGAGAAAATTAAACTGGTTCTCTCCTCTTACACACTTAGCTCTTCTTGTGTGACTTTTTGGCCCTTTAGAGCCACAGTGCTTCTGAGCAATGCCCTCCCTGCACGCTTTCAGGTGGAAAGCAATTCCCCCTTTCACTGTGACGAGTCTGTGAGCCTTGCCTTGCAGAGCGGCATAAAAGACCACACCGCTGCCCACACTAATGCACACTCAGGGGGACTGGAACAGGAAAAGAGGGAGGGGACAGACGCACTCAGAGGGCTTCGCGGCGCGTGGGCGTCAGACAGGGGGCTCCCTGGCGTTAACCTCACACGACCTGGCCAGCGGCCCTGGCTGTCCAGATTAGGAACCCCAGGCCCCCAGGAGTCACAGCTTGGGGACCTCGCCAATGACTGTCCAAGCCCAGATCTGCCTCAGGTGCAGCTGATTTCTTGCCCATTTGTTCCCCCCGGCACTGTTTCTAGCAGTTCCTTCTCCCTTTAGTTCCGGCCCCGTTAATCTGACCTTCCCCAGATGAATCTAGCGCCGGATGTTAAAGTGTGTGCACCAAACCTTCCTCAGTGCTGCAGCAGGTCTGTGTTTAAGGGGAGACCCATATTCTTTATGTTGTAAATATTAAGTGCCTTCTGCGTGTCTACATAGTACCAGGTGCTGCTGAGGGGCACCCCCAAAAATTCCAAGTTGTGGCTCTCAGCATAAAGAAATTCCAGGACCCAGTTAGGAAAACAAGATGAATTAATTTTACTAATGGCGAGCTCTCTGCCAGGTTCTCACACTTTCCTGTACGCGGGTATCATCCGGGGATCCCGTCGAAGTGCAGGTTCCGCCCGGTAGATGGGGGGCTCGGGGGTGGGGATCCCGCATCTGTAACAAGCGCCAGGGGAAGCAGCTGCCGCAGCGCGTGACCGCTCTTTGAGGAGCGGCGTGCAGTTGGCACTGTCTTGGAGGTCTAAAGAAGACAGCCCAGGCCGGCACTGCGAGGCCGTGGACAGGTTACATGCGAGTGCGGCAATGCGGCGGGCAGAACCAGCAATTCCTGCGCCACCCAGTCCTCAATCCACATCTGACTTCTCCGCTCGTCCTTTAGAACTTTACTAATAAATGGGAATCGTAACATGTCGCTCATGAAACCAGTAACAGCTCCCAATCGTTCAAAGAAAAATCCAGAGGCAGGATGAAAACACTAAACCCCATACTCATAAGTGCTCTGCAAGTGCAAAGCCAAAAGTAGGCTAAGTCATTTACTCTGTACCTCAGTGGGAGGAATTCAGTGGGTCGTGATTTTCTTTCTCCCGGGGGGGAACTCGGGGAGAGTAAGCCTGTGTAGGGAGAAAAAGAGAAAGAGCAGAAAGTACTGGCCCTGTAGCAAGACCTACGTAATCGGCTACACGTAATGAGAAGATACTCAATTTCCACAGTCATTACATGAGTACAGTCAAAATCAATGAAATTATCACTGGCTACCCATGAGTTTGGCAGGAATTAAAAGAGATAACATCCAGGGTTGGTAAAGAGTAGAAAAATGGACGTTCTCGAAAATTACCAAGAGGAGGGTACACTGGAGACATTTTTCAGGGAAATCTCATTCACCTACTATTTACCGAGTACCTATCTATGCCAGGGAGGCACAGCAGTGACACCATCTTTGGTCTCACGGAGCTTACAGTATCAATATTTTAAATGTCCATAATACTTTGGCCCAGAATTTTACTTTATGTCTTTAGTATTTCTGGAGTGTTTGTACACGTGCTAAAAATGTGCACAATGGATATATATGTACAAAAAATGTATGTTGCAATACTTTTTATAGACAATCTCAATATTGCCTATCAATAGGAAAATACTAAATGCCCTGTGGTACATCCATACAATGCGATGTCATGCAGCAGGTGAAAAAGAATAAAATGGATTTAAATGTACTTACATGAACAGGTCTCTGAGTACCGTTAGTTGGTGAAAAGGAAAAATACAAAAAGTATAATCCCACTCCTATTTTAAAGCTATATTTATATATGAACATTGATATATGTGTAAATGATAAAAATGGGCCAAGAAAGACATAAACCAAACCATGGAAGTAGGGAGGGGAGTGGTGTTAGGGATGATGCCAAAGATGGTTTTTAATAACTGGCTGTATGTATTTCTCTCCCCTTTGAATTTTTCAAGAATGCATTCCTAAATTATTCATATCACTTTTTAATTTAAAAAGTTTGATTTAGTAGAGATCTGGCAGTAGATGCAAACCAAAGGAAAAATAAGCCATAAAGTAAAACTGTCTATGCTACAGACAGAGAGAGAAGTCTAGATCTCTCAGCCTCATGGCATCTGCACCAGCCGAGCAAGGGCAGGGCTACTGGGCTGAGACAGGCACAGAGGATGGAGCCTCAGACCAAGGAACTGGGGGGAAACTGGAGCTTGTCCAAAGGAGAGCTAGAAGCCAGCTCTGCCTTGTGGGGAAGAATGAAGGAACTGTGAGTGTCTGCCCTGGAGACAAACGGTCAGCACCTCGGATGGGCTGTTCTAAGGGGGAAGAAGGGAACTGTGGGTCCAGGCTCTCCACACCTAAAGAACACCCGTCACCGGGGAGCAGAGCCCCAGGGAGCCCCAGGCTGAGGCCTCCACTGACTTGTTTCTGTCTAAAGTTATGAGAATATTTCCAAACATAGGAGTTTACTCCAAAAAAAAAGAAAAACTCCATGACCTGCATCACACAATTGAGTAGTATCTGATTAAGGATGAAACACTTCCGTCTCAAACTTAACATGTGTTTGTCTTACATTTCCTCTTCAGGATGACATTCTGCTTAGAAAACGAGGATGATTTACTTCACCCGGCCCAGGAGAAAATGTTTGTGAGATGTGAAGTGAACTCTAAAGCGTTGAAGCGAAAGGTCAGATGAGCTGAATGAGACCCAGTATAAAGAATAAGTGAAATGTATTTCTTCTAGGTGACAGCTGCCTATTTGGTAACCAAAATTATGCAGAGAATCTTGCATAAAGTGTCAATAAAGTTTGAAGAGGAATATATTTCACCACTATAAACTGAGTTTTTAAAACTATATTATACAACTATTTTCAAGTATTAGTACAACTAAAATGTCCCAATCTTATCTCTGATTGTGTTAATATATGTAAATAAATATAAATGTCAAAGTCATTTTAGGCCTGTTATTCTAATTTACAATGCCTTTTATAATTAAATCAAATTTAATTATATGCCTGGCTAGTTTATTCTGATCTGTTTTTGAATTATGCTGGAAAAAGGTTCTTTACTACATAACTTGCATTTCAATAAAGCAAAACTGTAATTAATCACTGGTTGTGTGTACCAAAGCACACACCCTTAAAAAAAAAATACAGCTCACTAAAAGAAAATTAATTCTAATTAAACTAATAGATACTTCACACAAATCACACAACTATTTCACAGAACCAACTACACAGAGTAGAAGTCTATTAAAACAACTAGTGCTAGCAGTGGAAACTGAGCAGTTGGTCATTTTAATTACTAGGTTTCTAATTAAATAAATACAGGTCTCCTCTTTCACTAATCCCTGTATCAAAAGCTAATCGATAACAGGTCATTTCAAAGAGTTGCCACAAACTGAATGTGTGTGCCCCACCCCATTCCTGTGTGGAAGCTTAAATCCTTAGAGCAATGGTGCCTTTGGGATGTGCCTGGTCACACGGACAGAGCCCACACACGGAGATCAGCGCCCGGTGAGAGGAGAAAGACACCCAAGCGCTCTGCTCTGTGTCCCAGGAGGCCTCACTCCCCCTCCCCCTTCAGCATCCGGGCACTGTCCTCCAAGGTGCCCACCTGCAGGCTCGCCGGCTGCACACGCTGTGGAAGCGCTGATGCCCAGCACATCTGGGGGTGACCCACAAAGCCAGAAACCAAGCTGCCCAGGGCCAGGCTGTGCCCCTACGGAGGCTGGATGAGAAGAAAGTGAACTGAATGGGAAATAAGCCAGAGGAAGGTACAGAAAGTGGGGCCCCAAAGCCACCAGCTACAGTCCCTGCCGACCTTTCTCATGCTAGGGGCTTCCACGCCAATCCCAGGGATCACCTGGCTCCTGCCCATCACTGCCTTCTTCGTCCTCCCTCCTCTTTCCTTCTCCTGCACAATCCCCCAACCACATCCTGGAGATCTATCCAGGCCAGTTACCATACTGCCCAGCCTGGCCCCACCTGGCCCCAGGCTGGAGCCTAAGTCACGCTCTTCTATCCATGGCCTTTAGGGACCAGTACAGGGTGATTCTCCTCCCCCTCAGCCTCTTCCGGCCCCCTGCCCTCTTCTGCCCCTTTCAGGGTGGGTGCACTGCAGGGCCCAGACCCCTCCCTGCCCACTCTGTCCCCTCTCCTTTGGCTATGCCACCCACTCCTGTGGCTTCACATTCAAACCCTCAGCGCCCAATCACCCCTTCCCCCGCAGCTGCTGCAGACTCAGAATGTCCCAGGCTGAGTTGATGATGTCCCTGGCCCTGAAACTGGCTCTTCCCCACACTCCTCGCCCTCTACCCCATCTTCAGCCAATGTCATCAGCGTCCGCACAGCTGCTGAGGCCAGCACTGGGGTCATCTGTCACGTCTGCGCCTTCGGCCCTGGCACTTATTCACCAAACCTTGCCATGTTTTCTCCTATTCCCACTTCGCTGCCGCCCTCACAGCCTGGGGCCCTCCAGCTCTTCCCTAGATGCTGACATCAATTTCCCAACTCAGCCCAAGGAGCCCACCCTCCCGCACTGCAGCCAGAGTGATGGAAAAAAAAAAAAGGCCACCTCAGACCAGACAATTGTGCTGCTTAAACTCAGCCACTCCCCGGGGCTCTCTGGAAGAAGTCCAGAAAGCCTCCCTGGGTCTTCGAGGTCCCCATCGGTCCCCTACTTTTCTCTCCAGCCTTGTGTGTGCTGTCTCTATCACTAGGTCATTGTCCCCAGGGTCAGCACCGGGCTGGGCCTGGGCAGGCCCCAAGCCCTGAGACTCTGAAAAGCTTCCAGCTGACTCACTGGCACCGAGTCTGGGAGCCTCACCACCCTCCTCCTCCACTCCTTCAAAAGTGCACAGCCCTCCCCTGCCTCTGGTTTTGCTTCTTCTCCCAGCTTCCTGCCAGGCCTTGAGTCCCAATTTAGTGTCCCTGTGTGAGGAATTGCTTAACAATCAACCCATCCAGTCCAAGCCTAAGTCACCACTGCAGCTGCCCACGGTCCTAACCTTTAATTCTGGTAAAACAACTTTGGGTCATGCTGGGCAGGACCACTGGAGCTAGGGGCAAAAGGAAATATCAGTAATACTGATCCTATCTTTCTTTATATAAAGGGTTGATATTTTACTTCTCATGGATTTTTGCAATGATTTTGTTTTTGAAAACCCTGTGTTAAAATGTTAATCTTGATAACAGAGTGTTTGGGCCCCTTTCTTTTAAATTATGTGCACAAGGCAAGTGCCTAGCTAGCTTTCCCCTTGTCCTAGCCCAGGTCTGTGAGACCTACTCACAAAACACCTTGCTCCTTCCCTGCACTTGAAGCTTGGTAACGTCGCCATGCTCAGTCCTCAGTGCCCACCCCATCACCTGGTGTGGAGCTGGCATCCTGCAAATGCGTGTCCATGAAGTAATAAGTCTGGGTATGTTTTGCCTCTCAATTAAATCATAACCCCCGGCTACCGTACCTGTCCAGAGTCAGGCTTCCAAGCCTCCTCCTAGCCTGGCTCAGCCTCTGTCTGAGTCAGTTCATCAAAACCCCTCCTTGTTCCTTGTTTTCATTTTTACTTCTCAAATAGTCCCATGGTGTTTCCGGGGGTGTGGTGCTGTCTTCCTGCCGAATGAATTCAAATCTTAGAAGCGAAGGGGCTGCCTCTCAAGCTATGCTTTGCCCGGCCCGGGTTCATTGTCATTTCCGACTTCGAAGATCTGGGGTAATGCCCTCCTGGCCATTGGCCCCCAGGACAAGCTGAGTCCCACGGATGCAGAGCGCGGTGCCCCAGCCTCCCAATCATCTGCATCACTCCTGCAAATGCAGCTTCTAATTCAGGGGGTCCAGGGCAGACCCCGGAAGTTTTCATTTTTAAAGACAATCCTGGGTAATTCTTCTCATCATCTGACCCAGCAACACCTTCCTCTCAAGCAAGTACAATGCCTAGGCAGGGCTGCTCCCAGGAAGGGAGGCCCCTTACTGCCTGAAACCCTGCTTGCTCTCCGCAAGCCTTAGAGGGCAAATTCAAGCTCCTCGAGGGCAGAAGCTGCCTGTGTGCTCCTGGAATTTGTGTGGTTGTTTGACATTTCTCACTCTAAAGATGTTTTGCACAAGCATGAAAACAGCCTGTAGAACAATGCAAAGATGTACAAAGAGCAACCTGCTCATCTCTCAGCATCCACTGGCTCCCACCCCAGGGGTCCCTCGTAGGGATGAAAAACAGGCTGCGGGGTCCCCCTTCCAACATCTGCAAACGTCTGTCCACACAAGGGATTCATTTCCCTCCAGAGTCAACACATAGGATATAGGTTACTCTGCAACTTGCTCTGCCCGTTAAGCTAATGATGCGGTCTCCATGTCTTACAAGTCAGGGGCATTTCCTTATCCATGTGAACAGAATGTTGTTACACTACAGACTCACCCCTCTCCTGAACACAGCTACTGTCACACACACTAACACGTGTTCGCGGCCTCACAGAGGCATCCTTGTTCTATAAACTCGTGATTATATTCCATGGGGGGCACTGCTTCACGCTAGGGATGTGCTCTAAGAAACACGTCCTTAGCCCAAGGGGTCATGTGCACACGAGTGTATGAACCCAGCCCTGCACCTGGAATGGTAGAGTCACTAAATTAACAGGGTCCACTGTTCTACAGTACAGCACAGCACAGCACAGCACAGCACAGTACAGTACAGTACAGAATGAGGGTCTCATTCTAAATTAATGCTTAAAAAGTAACTATAGCCGAGGATTTAGCTCAGTGGTGCCGTGTCTGCCTTGTAAGCACAAGGTCCTGAGTTCGATTCCTGGTACCAGAAAAAAAAAGTACACGATGATGAATACATAAACCAGTAACAGAGTGGATTATTATCATTCTCAAGTATCATACACTGTCCATAATGGTAGAGGCTACACTTTTATACAACTTGCACCATAGTAGGTTTGCTTACACCAGCACCCCACAAACATGGGAGTGTTATGTTGCACTGGGCCAGTTCTTTCTCTAGGTGACAGGCAATGCAGTCCTTCAGGATTTAACTCCCTAGGTCAATGGGTATAGCTGTCATTATTCTTGATGGCTGTATAATATTCACCATGGTAGAGGTATCATGATTTATTCCAGTTATCTTGTGCTTTCACTTTACCCCAGCTTTTTGCCCCTCTCAAAACGCTACAATATATATCTGAGCCCATGTTGCCACATTGCTTCCCTAAAGCCCTGCAGTAGTTCTCAGTCCCACTAGCAATGTGTGAGTGCCTATTCCCTACACCCTGCCTTCTTCCAAGGCCAGAATACTGCTCATTCCGTTTTCACTAGTCCGATGGATGTGAAGACCTCATTGGTGGTCACATTTCCCTGCTTACTATTGAATTTGAGAAATTTTCTATGTACTTATTGGATTTGCTTTACCATGAATCCATTTAATGTGAATCCAATTTTAATGCGATCCAATTTTCTATAGAAAATTCGTCTTTCTTTTATGGTGCTACTGGGGATTGAAGTTAGGGTCTTTGCGCTAAGTTGCATTCCCAGTCCTTTTTAATTTTGTATTTTGAGACAGACAGGGTCTCACTAAGCCACTAAGGTGCCCAGGCTGGGCTCAAACTTGTGATTTCCTGCCTCTGCCTGCCAGAGTCCTGGGACTCCAGGCTTGTATCACCATGCCTGGCTGGAATACCTGTCTTTTCCCATTAGTTTGTAAGAACTAGATAGTTTATGAAATATATTAACCTTTTGTCTTTCAACTTCACAAAGCTTTTTCCAAATCTATTCCTCTATTGATTTTAATCATAGTATTCTTTGCTGTACAATAGTAAGAATTTTTTTAGGTCAAAAAGTCTAACATTTCTATTACATAGATTTCCTGACTTGGTTAAAGTATCTCTCGCTATTGAATTGCAAATTATACAAAACTTAACTCTTGCCAGGCATGGTGGCATCACAGCTGTGATCCCAGCTAC